GGAGCGCCTGAAGCAGCAGGGATGTGCGCACATCGTTTTCACCGACTGCCAGCACGATGGCAACGTCAAAAAGGTAACGGGCCAGCAGCCTCCGTGCCCAGCTCGGCTCCTTGGTGCCAGCACCTGAGGGCTGTGTGCCAATCTCCCAGCCCTGCGGAGAAGCCTCAGTGCCCCACAGTGGGGAGGTGACGCTGGCCAGTCCAGAGCCATCTTCGTTTCCAGCTTGCCGCAAGGCACCCCGTCCTCCACTCGGCACCCATTTGGCGAATCCTCCTGGCACAGCGTGCCAGCCCTGGGCGCAGAGCTGCGGTTACAGCCCTTCTCTGTGTTTCTCTGCAGATTGTTCCCCTGGTTGCCAAGCTGGTGGGCAACAGCCCACGCTACCACAGGGCCGAGGTGAGACGCGGCAGCCAGAGTGCCAGCAGCGTGGGCACGGGCAGTTGGGGTGGCTGTCTGCAGGTCACCTCGCTCTCCAGCTGCAGGGACAAGGCTGCTCGTACGTGTGCCAGAAGCACTGGCAAAGGCTCTTGCAGCTGCCCACCGCTCCTGGGGTAGGTGACCGATAACCACCCGCTCCCTGCCCGCGTCCTCCTCTCTTCCAGAGCACCGAGTACAGCATCCTGGTGATCGGCGTGCCCAACGTGGGCAAGTCGTCGCTCATCAACTCCCTGCGGAGGCTGCACCTCAAAAAGGGTATTTCTCCACGGTGCCCGCACTTGGGGAGGAGCCACTGGCGCAGCCGTGGAGCTGGTGGCGGGGCAGAGTGTCATTTGCTCCTCTGACTGCCGGGTATCTCCTTTTTCCAAAGGGAAAGCCACAGCGGTTGGTGGTGAGCCGGGCATCACCAAGGCGGTGCTGACCAGAATCCAGGTACCATCCCTGCGGTGGAGCTGGCGGGGTGGGTGGTGGCCTCAGCCTCTCTGCAGCCTGAAAAATCTCTGGAGGCACCAAGATGTGATCTCAGAGGGGTCTGCTTTCCGGCAGGACCTTAAAAGAAGAGCTCAGTGCCTCGCTCGTTAGCCGTGTTGGGAGTCCACAGTGCTAATTAGCGAGCTAATTAACGGCCCTGCCTGCCCTATCCCAGGTTTGTGAGAAGCCCCTGATGTACCTAGTGGACACGCCGGGCGTGCTGCCCCCAAAGCTGGGGGACGTGGAGACGGGCATGAAGCTGGCGCTGTGTGGTGAGGTGGAGGCTGTTGCTGGGCCGGGGGCTCCCCAGATGTGGCTTCCAGTCCTGTCTGGGCCTGGTACCAGAGGCTGGGGTGGGATTCTGCTGGTTTGGGTTCCCTCAGGCCAGTGCATGCTGCCTGTGTGCCCATGGGTGGCAGGTGGATGGTGGGAGGGGTGGCTGGGGCTGGGGAGGAGCTGGAGTTTGACCCTCTTTTCCAGGAGCCATCCGTGACCACCTGGTGGGGGAGGACATCATGGCCGACTACCTCCTGTACACCCTGAACAAGCAGCGGCAGTTTGGGTGAGCTCGCGGAGGACCCGGGTAGGGTCCTGGGCTGTGTCCGAAGTGGGCACTGCAGAAGCTGTCCTGGGGGAACTGGGGTGGGGTGTCAGGAGAAGCGGTGCCAGCAGGATGCGCCCC